CTGTCTCTCTTGCTCACGATAGCAACTCGAGATGAAAGACGAATAGAAAATATGGGCGTTATCGTAGGCCTCATTGTCCGAAAAATACAACGTGACGGCAAGAACGAATCGCAGTAGGTAAACAATAAAATGCGTAAACGGGTTTTTAATCATAATTTCTTTAAAACACTGATTAGAGATAGGTATTTAAACTTATTAATTTATTTATGGTTTTTAATAGTTGACAATGCCTCCGTAGTTTAGCAGAGGTCATGGGTTCGATTCCCTGGGGACTGAAATTAAAAAGTTTCTTATTCAAATTAGTTCTTTCGTTTGTACGTTTCATCCAAATGCCGTCCATTGCTGCAAAAAAGCTTCCGCCAAGGATTTCCTCAACGAATGGTCGTACGCTGCCCGCATCCAGGTGCTTAATTCCCACGACCTTCACCAGATCGTCGGTCCACCTAGTGAGAGTCCTTCCTGCCCACACTACACTTCCATTCAAAAACTTTTCTATTCCATTCATTCACTTATTCATTACTCAAAAATTAGTAACGACCCCACACGATAGAAGACGAAAAAATAAACTAGTTACCTATAAGAAAAATCAATTTTGAAATAGAGATACAAACTGAAAATAATAAAAACCTTTGCACTCAACCAGTAATTGTTCTTCCTATAATAGGGCTTTTAAACCGATAAATAAGTTCTATACAAAAATAGCAATGAAGATAGTGAAGAGTATAAATAAGTGCGATTAAACGAACAAAGAAATACGCACGATTTGTTTTTATTATTTATTCATTCGTGGTTTTTATAACATTATTATTATTACAGTCTAAGTTCTCGTACTACTCTCGTTTAAGATAAACAGTTATCTTTTTAGGTAGGCACTAAAAAGATTCAGATTACTGATTATCTTCAACAAAACAAGGACCGCCAATTCTCCCCATGTTACTGGCTCTACAAATTCAAGACATTTATAGTTATTTATGTAAAAATAACTTTTTCAGGGCACATCATCATCATTTCAGCCACAGGATGTTCACTGCTGATCCATTGATCGGTGGTAGTGGCCTGCATCGAGCGCCTTGGTTTCGGGCTCTACCACCACTTTGGGACTACATTTCGGCTAACTTAAAAAAAAAATGTAATGTGACGAAAGAAACTCATTCGTTCCTAATCTTTATTAGCTTTTTTAAACAAATAGATAAAAAAATAAATAAACAAATAACTAAATACTGCAAATAATGTGGGTAAGTACGATCACTAATTAGCATCTGTCATTTAGCAAATCGATCTTGGTTTATCTTTAGCAAAACAAACAAATTAGTAATGTTCATCTGGCAGTAAATAACCAGTCACGAAGGGAAGACGTGGTTAAATAAGGATTATTTGATAAAATGGTAATTTAATTCCTTTTATGGGAAAAAAATATTATAAAATTACACTTTGAGTTTCTACTAAATCAAGCAAAATAATGATTGGTTCAAACATTAAAAATTCAATTCAATTCAATGCTTGAACTTTCATCTAGTTTTGGGCTACGAGTACCTCTAATATAGCCAACGAAAAAACGGAGGGGGTTTTCTTATAAAGCAATATTCTTTAGAATTCGGTCATATAATGTAGGCTTTTAATGATTTTCATTCATTTATAAATGATTCCAAATTAGAAGCTATTCAACTCTCTAATATTCTTGCAATATTTTTCCGGCAACTATTGGGTCGTTTTACTTCACTTTTTTAAACGACTTGTCACAATAGCATATTAGTGCCTACTCAGTACTTATTTATTCTGTGATACTACTAAATTCAGTTACATAAATATATTGTACATTATGTTAGGAAAGTTCATCGACCACACGGTCATCGGCAACGTAAACAATATTTATCAATTAAATAACAACAATGCTTTACGACTCATTAACGCTTTAATAACAAATGTAGTACATGCTCTGACTTGGGAGGACAGTTAAAAATAATTCACAGATTGTTAGTACCTACGAAATACCTACAAAAAGATACATAGTTAACGAAGAGTACCTATTTAAAAGTCCACGATCCTGAAACGTAACAAAAACTAACAACCTAGTACCTATTGATAGCAGCGCCTTCCTGTAAATGTCATAATTTTGAGGTGGTCCAACGTGGCAAAAATCAGAACTAATAATCCAGCATAGATAGTAGCGCCTAACAACCAGCAGGGAAGGTTCATTGTTGGACTAGATGTGAAAGTGGTACACAGTGGTACAGATGTGACAGTGGGACATGGCACTACGAGTATTCTCATCTCTTGCTATCTATCTATTATTATTATAAAGAGCTGTGGTTTTCTGAATAAAGAAAAATAAAAAAAAAATAAAAAAATAAATAAAAATAAAATCGTTAAAGCCGCTGTATTTACAGCTTGATTGACAATAAAAACACCAGTGCAAGCTGAATGTTCTCTGAAGTGAACACATGTTACGTAGAGTTTCCGCATTTGATACCCTTTAATCGTAATAAAACTTTAACTAGGTACCTACATAATAACATAGAAGCATATTTTATGTACACTTTACGCCTACGGCTTGGTCTACACCAAACAATCCAAGCATCTCTAGAACATTTATATAATGTACCCTACGTACGATCAAAACTCGAAATGGAATGTAGCTATTAACTCTATCCAGAATTAATTGTTCTAATGTAAGTAAATATTTACTATTAATCATAGGAGTCACTAATTACCTATCATACGAGTACGTGATAGTAAGATAGTTATAAATTGGAAACTCCTTCACCTCAGCTTCTTTTTGGAAGTATTTACTTCGCTCCGTGAAGCATTTCGAAAGAATCTGTCACAAAATGTTACTTTGTCTTAAAAACTCTCATAAAACTAATTTATTTCTGTAAATAGGCTTAAAAAAAGCACTTTTACACGTCCCAGTATTAACCCTACCACTGCTTCAGGACAATAAATGGGCCAGTGCTGAGAAGAAGCAGCGCAAGAAACTCAGTCACTATTGTCAGCCTCTTTTTCAAAGGTTTACATGCTTTAAAATGTACAAAGTTATAAATATTTATGCGAGCTAGGCAGTAACGCATCCCAAACATTTTTATCTTTTAAATAATCATCGACTTTATAGTAGCCCTTTTTCATTAAGGTACTTTTAATATGTGCTTTGAATTTATGAATGGGTAGTTCTACAACAGTTTGTGGTAATTTATTAAAGAATTTAATACATTTTTCCATAAATGAATTACCAATCTTATGCAATCTGAAATTTGGAACGGCAAGTTTATTTTTGTTTCTTGTATTAAAGTTATGCAAATCGCTCTTTTTCGTGAATTGCNAAATTTGGAACGGCAAGTTTATTTTTGTTTCTTGTCTACAGGGGTAGATGAAAATGGTACAAAACAGAAAAAGATTAACTCCACACTAGGCATTTCCTGTCCTGCACGATTTACAGGTAGATACGGCTCTATTCCCACCTCTCGTTCACACCGCTGCAACTCTGTGTAGCCAGGATCTACAGCTTGACCGCCAATAAAAACCCAACCAATGAAAGTCAAGTTTGTCCCGGGGGAATTTAAACTGTCATTGGACCCGCAACGAAATTAATTAGAAGAACATAGAGTTCGAAGTTTAGGTTCAATTTCCCTCCATTGCTTTCAAAGCGGATGACAGGTGACAAAACAAAGATTAAGTTCATTCGTTTCAGCCAAATGACGTCCACTGCTGGACAAAGGCCCAAGGTTTTCCACAATGCACGGTCCTGCGCTGCCCTCATCCAGGCTCTTCCCGCGACCTTTACCAGATCGTCGGTCCACCTAGTAGGAGGCCTGCCCCTGCCTGAAGGTTAGGTAACATTTAAGAAAAGATATACATTATACACCACGGACAGTAAACATCTTTATGAGGACCTATCTTGTGAGCTATTAACTTTTCAAATTCGTATGTTTTTTCGACCTTCAAAAGCTTTTGTATTCACAATCTATTACAAAACATTAAACTATAGCAAGACAGGGGTTATCCCAACGTAAATGATAAAGAATTGTTGCTCTACTTGCTAACGCCCGTATTCACAAACATTACTATGAGGTCTCACAGCGCGCGTGGACGCACAGGGTCACACACGAACCAATCAAGCTCTATTGAACGCTGTGCGTTCGATTTGCTGCTTCACTTAAGCACGTATCGTTTGTGAATACGGGCGTAAGTGTACGTGACCTTTTGTCCAAACACATGTTATTTTTAACCTCAGATTAACTTATCTAAGTTAACTGGGCTTTTCCTTTGGTGGAGGCCTTTGTCCAGCAGTGGACGTCATTTGGCTGAAACGAACGCACTGAAATCAAAATAAAAAATATTTTATTAAATTTTGACCAATTTGGCACTTATGAGATTTTGCAAGTTCAATTTGCAGGGATGAGGAGTATAAAATAAAATATGTAATTAGCCGACTTTCAGACATGTAAAATATATCAACTGCAAAAACAGCTAATTCTCTTCGCCAAAATACCTACTTGATTTGTGATAGTAGAATTTAATTGACAGCTCGATCTCGCTAAGCTTAATGTTTATCTATGATTTATTAATTCATATTCTATAAAAAAAAAGCATGGGACATGAATGTGGGTAGACCTTGATTGCGAGCCCTAGTCCCTACAAAACGTACGATCAGGGGTTTTTCACACAAAAGAGGCTAGAAACCAAAACAAAAACCTAAAAGTTTCAAGTCAATTAGTTTTGAATAACTTTAACTTAAAAGTTGACTATCACAATGTTAATCAAATATTATTTCTTGAATCAATAAACAAAACCATTAAGATTTTTAATCCTTAAACAAACCTTAAATTGTTTTGCCATTCCCTAAGCATCTAATTAAAAATTAGCTCGTGTACTTCGAAACGATTCCCATCTTGAATCCATTGAGTACCGTCGTTATCGCTTCGTAAATTCGCGGTGATTGACGAGCGAGGGGTCAAGTCCACAATCTCGTGGTACCGGCCGCTTCTATAAAAGGAGGTGCGCGTGAGAGCCGGGCGCATTTACCTTCTAGGCGGGGTAGAGAGCACACCAAGTATTGCTAGAATAAGTACACAGACTGATATTTAATATTTTAGTGCTTACCCCATCAAGATGGGGCGGAGTATAGTAGCGTTTAGTGTTATCCTTTTAGTTTCCGTTCTATGGAAACCGGCATACACTGATGGTGAGTTTTTTTGTTTTTCTTCTACCCTATTTTTGCGGAAAATGGCATAACTTAATTTAAAGAAAATTAAACGCTTTTTTTATTGATTACGTAATTTAACAAGTAACCTACTTAAATTATTTTGATACAAAGAAAGTTTTTTAAAAGTATTGCTACGCTCTAATTTTATGCTATTTTTTAATTTAAATTCATACGTAATATAAAGGTACTCTGATGATATCCTAATGCACTCTTTGTTATCAATATTCTTATATTTACAGACCTGTATTGGAGGGTAGGCAATGATGGCAATGATGATATTTTATGTGTGTTTAACTAACTTTTTGTTTACCTACTCTGAAATGGTCTGACTTCCATAAAAATACCATATAAAATATCCTAAACATTCACAATCCGTCATTTAAATCGTAGCACATTATTGCTAAAAGTTTGCATGACCTAGTGGTTTGTGTACGGGAATACAAAGCTGACAATGGTAGCAGGTTCGAATCCTGTTTAGAGCAAATGTTTAGGGTGAATGTGGGCGGGTACCTACATCTACTTGTATAATAAATCGAAACTTATAATCTTATAATCCTCTAATAGCAACATACGAGCATAGCAACAGAAAATACCACGGCTGAAAAAAAGATATAAAACTACCCTCATACGAGCCTAAGTGATAGTTGGAAAGCTATAAGCATGACTACATAATTAGTTTGTTTTGGACTCGCGAATAAATATTTTGTGTAAACCATAACACAGAACTACATATCTAGGTAGGTACCTACTTAAAGTTCAAATTATGTTCTTATCTAGACCTTATTTAACTTTAATAGTCCTATTAAATACTAGCTGACCCGACGAATTTCGTACAATCTATGTTCATCCGAAATAAGGTAGATTTTTTTGGTGAAAGATTTTTGAAATCGCTCCAATGGTTTCGGAGCCTATTCAATACAAACCAACAAACTTTTCCTCATTATAATAAAAGTAAGATCATTATCTGACTTATGTTGGGAATCTGCCGACGTATTTTTCTTTTAAACTTGGATTATTTCAGCTTTCTCATACCTAAACTCTTGAGACCGACCCAGTATCACCTTCGCGCACAATCGACCTCCGCTTGTTTACCCAGCACTTCTGATAACCGTACTCTTTACCCCTAGATTACATTATCATCAGGACCGTATTTCTTTACTCATTACTTGGGAAAAGTTTCGTTACATCATTGTAACTGTCACTAACCGATCTACCCTTATATTTTTTCATTTCATCACTGAAATTCCCAATTTCTTCCATCTTCTTTTCCAACTCCCAATTTTCTTTGATAACCAAATTACTTGGGGCAATAGGGTAAAAACTTCACAGTATGAAAAGTATGCCTAGACTTATTTTTGTTTTGAACTTACTTGAAAAATGACTAACTAAAAATTGTCAATTAAAGAACTATGCGTAGTCAATCTATATTTGATTTGTTTAGATTTGAGAAAGATAAGCGATAAAACACTACCCTGAAAACTTCTCAAAACAAGATCAAAAGCTCACAAAAGATTTTCGGTACTACTGTCATTATAAAGAGCTGTGGTTTTCTGTACGAATAAAAATACAATAAAACTACCCTAGTCATTTTCGCTTTTTCTCGCAAACTTAATTTACATTAGTATCGAAACCACATTATCCTTAGCAACAGAACAATGCCAATTCGGCGATATCTATCGCCTTGGCAGTGACCACTACAATAGAATCCATAGATAACAAGGAGCATTGACAAACACTCGATAGTGCTCCTGACCTATGAACCTCATATCGCGACCACCGTATTTGCAAGTAAATTATAGTTCTTTGTTCAACACGTACCCAAGATAAATACAGCTTGTATTTTCAAATTGATAAGCACTACAACTTTTGGAGCGAAATGTAGGTACTTAATTGATAAAGGAGTAGGTTTATATTTCAAGTATAAAAAATAATTTAATATGATAAATTGAAACTGTTAAAATTGCTATTTATAGAATATCTTTACTTTGTATAAAATAAGATAGTCACAGATAGTGGTAATAAAGTAGTTCCTTGTAAGTCCCAAAAATACGAAAAACATCTCTGGCAGATAATTTGACCTATAGATTTTGCTTTTACGAATTTTGCAATAGGGTCTTGATTCAACTCGTATACTTAGATAAGTATTTAAATTGTTTAGTGCATTGATTGTTTTAATATTGATCGTTCCTGTGTCAAATGCAAATGGAAAATCATTAATATTATCTAATTTTGACTCGACAAGCATCTTACCGGAGTACGAACGAAACAATTCGTGGCCGATCCACTAACTCATACATCCGTACACAGGAGGATGTGGATAATTGGTTCATCGGTGCTGTTTGCTGACAGAATGTTCGAGAAAACTGCACTTTGGTTCTTTGGTCGACCAGTCATTAAAATATTATTGATTGATTTATGTAATTTTTCATGAAATTAGAAAGAATGAATGTGAAAAGTTTTCTAAATAGGTAAAATTATTTTGAACAAAAATCAAAACGGGATACATTAATTTCAACATCAACACTGTCGTAAAATTTTCAACTCGTAACAATAAAATTTTATTTCAAAAGTGTTTGAAGCCATATAATCTACTTTAGAACAGCCACGTCAAGAGGACCAGGCCACGTAGTCAGGTCGACATTGTAAATTTGTTTGTATAGAATTGAATGTATCTATTTTTAGATGTTCCTTCACCTTCGCAGTTTTAACCCTTACCCTAAACTTGTACGGTTATTCTTTTTTGTTTTCTTCAAACTCACGTTTCCACCCATTACCTGAAATAATATCTTAGCAGTATGTACTGTGTAGGTCAAAGTCAAAGCACATGATCAGTCCAAATGAAAGCTACAATCGATAACTCAAAGATCCAATTGGATAATCGCAATTTCTTTCTCAACTGGCCATGATTGATCACCGGGACCCCTCCAATTACTCAATTTGACGAAAGGGGGATCTTGGTCCCTTTGTTTTGAGTTTGGCGACCTGCTTTGAGCTCTAGTATTGTTTGGGACTTCAAAGTTTAGTTTTTGATAAAGTGTTGTCTCTAATCTGTCATTTTGATTATGAAATTAATCTCTTCTTCTTCTTCTTCTTGTCGTGTCGAAAACAAATCTACACAGTGTAAGCACGAAAATCTGTCTTTTTGATTTGTAAATTAATATGGAGGAATAAAAGGATGATAATCCGGCACCATATGCCCTGCCTTAAGAAAAATGGAGACGATAGGGAAAGAATAATTATGGTAGAAATATTTACTTGTATAATATCTTGTCAAACGAAGGTCTGTTTTTTATTTATCTCCAATTTATCGTCTCTGACCATCTGGATTATGAGTTCATTACCTTCAATAAAGTCGTATATGCCCTGCCTTAAGAAAAATGGAGACGATAGGGAAAGAATAATTATGGTAGAAACATTTACTTGTATAATATCTTGTCAAACGAAGGTCTGTTTTTTATTTATCTCCAATTTATCGTCTCTGACCATCTGGATTATGAGTTCATTACCTTCAATAAAGTCGTAGTTTCTTCAGCAAACAGCAAAGTTCAAATTGCAGTCGTTATCTTTCGCTAGGCATGCTGTTTGCTGATTCACGAAGATATCGCGTGAACCCGGCTGTCCACGCGGATCTAACACATTGTTGCTGATAACTACTTCCTTGACCTCTGTTTACGCATTTCTAATTAATAAACCACTGTGGTCTCTTGATAAACTCTTGATGGAAGAATTTGGATTGAATTCCAGGTAGACCACGATGGCAAATAAATCTCACTTTCTGATACTTTTTTAAAAGCTTTTTCTAATTCCATTATATCGTCGTGTTTGTTAGTCTTTGTTTAACTAAGTAAGAACGACAATCGAAGAAGAGTAATGTTGATTATCTATAATCATGAATTCAGTACTTTTTTCTTCTTTAAAAACCTTTTGTTTAATTAACCTTCTTACCAATAGTAAAGGAAAAATCTGCGTTGAAAGGACAATAACAAGATATGAATACTCGTTTCTCTTCATAAACAGCTTTTAAAAGGGCAATTACTGAGCCCTTATCAATCTCTGCTGGAGGCACGTTATTGCTCTTATTGATAACATTAATGTGACCCTAATTTATAATTATTATGATTACTAATTAATGTATTGGTTTGTTTGTTTCAGATAAATGTTCACTAGGATGTAAAGGATGTAAGTTGTGTGCATTTTTATTTCTTCCTGGTCATTTGTATAAGTTATCATTATCTTTAAGACTAGTTAACTTATCATTTTCTTACTTTTTAAATAAATAATAAAAATAAATCTTTGGACAATTTCACACAGCGCCAGCTAGCCCCAAAGTAAGCAACTCAATGCTTGTGTTATGGGTGCTAGCTTAACGGATATACTACTTATATACTTTTTTTTTATTAAATAAATACATACATATTATACATATTATACATATTTACACCCAGACCCGTCACAGAAATTAAAATTCATCATTTCAATTTCTGCCCGGCCGGGAATCGAACCCGGGACTTCTCGGCATAGTAGTCCGTTCTGAACCACTACACCAAACGGCCGACATTTCATTTTAATGAGAGTATTATTATTTTTATTAGACAATTTACTATTAACTTAAGTACTTTTTTTATTGACTTTACCTACTTTTACATTATTAATATTTCAGAGGAAGATTCCATCTTCTGCCACACATTCATCTTTATTTCCAATGATTTAGATTTTTTAACATTTACCTTTACATGCAGCTTCAACGACAACTTTCCAAAATGGCCACAAGTACACTTATGGTGTTGAAAGCACCGTCTCCATCTTCCTGAGCGGCGCTGACAGCAAAGAGACCACCGTGAAGCTCCTCGGCCAGGTCGTGGTCAACGCCATCGGCAACTGCGTCAACGAGCTGGTCGTGCAGAACTTGGCTATCTCTGGCCCTGATGGCAAGGTAAGATGGGCTCTAAGTAATTGTTATTACAATTTGCCTTAGGAATAGGGAATTAGTATGTTCTTCTTCTTACATTTCTTAAGCCTTGGCATTGTAAAATCCTTCTTTTTCGAAAATATCTGAACATTTAAAAACTCGTGACGTCTCTGAATGCAAATCACACGCATCCGTACCTGCTATAATAATAAGATCATGATATGTGACGTCATATTCATCTTAATTCTAATTCGATGAAATGTTTAAATTGTGTCTTTTTTATTTCTAATCTGTTATAGGCTAACTCTTATTCATAGAACACAATTTCTTTACTTTTTGTTTAGTCTTCATCTTATCTTCTAAATCAGATCTGAACAACTCAAGCGCTCTCCTATTATTTTATTTATTTATTTATAGAGTAGCAGATGTTCTTAACTTAAGACTTTTGTAAAGTTTCCTAGAGTTTTTCTAACCAGCTGTCCTTTCGTTCAAGAATACCCCCTTTACTATTCGCCCTATCTTATAGGATAGATTAGCAGCTGTTCTTAAACACTAAGACTTTTGCACAGTTTCCTAACCAGGTATAATGTCCTTCTCTTGTTTTAGAAATACCCGAGTCCCCCGGGCATCGAGCAGCCGGTGCAGTTCGCTCTGTATGAGGGCAGGACCGACCCTGAGATCTGCGCCGTGGAGGGCGACACGCGCCGCTCCCTTAACATCAAGAGGGCCATCATCTCGCTTATGCAGACGCAGCCTAATTATGGAGTGCAGGTGAGAATACAATAATGTTCGTTTTTTTACTCATAGAAGGGAAGGTCTTGATCTGCATCTTACCTGATCTATAGTAATGATCAAGCTGAGGGTTACCCACAGCGGAGAAGCTCTAGGCCTAATAAAATGATCAAAAGTCATAATAAGGTTGATGATGGAAGTTAGATCAGCTGAGTGTAATCTAAAAATAATGTTTGTGTATTAAGATCCAAGTTTTGGTAGGAAACTTGAAACAAGGAGTATGATAGCAACTTCATCACCTAAACCCGATTCTCAGATTATATTATTTCTTGGGATGGAAAGAGATTCCTTTCAAATTCGTATGAACTTGATTTTTAAGAACTAAATTCATTCAACAACTCTCCATCTCCAATTAAAGCAAAGCAAAAGGTTACTATTTCGTGGCTAGGTACGATATTTAACAAGTTGGCTTGGCTTTCAACTGTTTAACCTCGATTATAATTAATGAATGATCTTTTTTATCAACAAGATTGGCTTCTTTATTTTCTTGGTCGACATATCAAATGACTGATATTTTTCTTTTCGATCAACTTCTTGGTACTCAATGACTAATCTTTCCAGACTGACGTGTTCGGCGTGTGCCCCACCGACGCCTCCTCCTCGAAGGAGGGCAAGTCGGAGCTGGTGCACCGCAGCCGCGACCTCAACCGCTGCTCCCACCGCGAACAGGGCAAGAACGACATGGTGACCGCCGTATACAACCCCACTGCTGTAAGTTACTTTTATTTTGGTCATTAACCAAAAATAAGCCATAGCCGAACAGTGAAGGGGTCGAACTGGCCGCCTCGTTATTCGAGGAACGCGAGTTTGAACCCCGGTGATGCTCGACTATTGTTGTGAGCCCACTCGTAATACCACATAATAATAATAGTATGGTAATACATACAAGCCTTTTAGCTTAGTACGAGGGACTTGTTTATAATGTAGAAATGGAGCTAGATAATACTCTTAAAGATTTTTAATGAGCTAAACATTGAACTTTCGAATGGAGATTGAAGAACAAACAAAATTGATGTTATAGAATTTATTTCTTCACAGTTAAAAAAGAGAGGTCCACCACTTGTTGTATTTCATCCAAAGGAGTTTCTTAAAAATAAGTTTCTATTAAGAATAAGAATAAGAATAAGAATAAA